TGCACAATAAAGCAAACAATGGTTGAGTGGGAGGCAAATGAATGGCAAACCCGACGGGTGAGGGATATTAGGATATTATGGGATTTAATCAAAATAAATAATTGTATTCAAGAATATTCTGTATACTTAAATAAACAATTAATTTCTATTTATTTATTGTTTTTCATTGTATATCCATTTATTGTATATTTATTTTCGCTAAAGTTTTGTTGAAAATTTGTTTTAAGTGTAGAAATACATGCGATTATAACGGGGTTTTAGACTCGGATTGCAATGTTTGGCACTGAAAACAGCGAAACCAATAATTATAAAGTTATTCAAATGCTTCACAAATTCAATTCATATTCAATTCAATTCATATGTATTTTATGTTTAAAAAATTGTTTGCGTTTTGAAAATAAATTTATATTTTGTGATCAAACAATTCATCGCATAATATATAACATTTAGCTGTGAATAACTTTGTGGGCGATTATGACGTGAATAAGTTTGTCGCTAAATAGTGTACTCCGGAAACAAAATATCTATTAAAAGCATCGGTGTTGAGATCATACACCTGTTTAGCGAAAACATTTTGCCTATTTGTTAACATTTGTACCAAACCTAACAAATAGCAGGTGTAAGGGATTTGCGGATCTGAAATAGTAAGCCTATGTTATGCCTCACTATTAGTATTACATTAGTATTATGCAAACCATATATCAATTGTGCAAACAATTAATCAATTGGTTTGAAATGAGCCAAACATTGACTACAAGTGTCGCCAAACTTAATGATAACAACAATTGATTGCAAATACAGGTAATCATAATAGTCTGTGAGTCACACATAGACTATACCCTAAAACACCTGACAGTACTCTATGTCTAAAATGCTATTCAAAATAAGATAAGAAAAAAGTTTTTCTTCAATGAAAAGTAGGAAAAAAGTATTTCTCTGTTAAGAAATAGTGTTTAATGTGTTGTTTTGCAAAACAAGTTGTGTTTTGTGTCTCAAAGAAATATATGACAAGACTTTTGCAATGGGTTTGGGTTTTATCCGTACAGTCAATGATATGCAGTGTTTGTAGTGTTTGTGTTGTGTTTCTGTGCGCACAATAAAAGGTCACTCCATTCACAGCACTGGTAGGGCTGGTGTAGGGCTGGTATGGTATGAGTGGTAGGGCTTAGGCTATGCACAGCACAGGCATTCACTACAGCACTGCTTGTGTACTGAAATACGAGTTGAGTTGTGTTGTGTTGTAAAGCGAATGCATAGAGACTTCCCATTACTTGATAGCCATTCAAATGGCATTTGTTTACAAGCGTTGAGCGGATTGTATGGTATGTATGGACACAACCATTGATGTCCACCAATACTACTATGCGTTCACTAATTGGGTTCACAATAACATTGTTATCGCAATCAATATATTGTTGTTATTAAACGCTATTATAATCGACAACACTATTGGACGACAAATACAATCAAATCATAATTGAAAATACCGTTTGGTTTTAGAGAGAAATGCAATCAAAACTATAATTGGATCCCATTTTTGTTGTTGTGATTTGTGTTTCAATTGTAATCAGTTTTTGTGGTGAAATCAGTGTCTCATTAGATCCACGACTACAAGACATTAGTGTCGAGACTATCGTTAGGAAAACATTTGTGTTTTAAATGTGTGAAGACGTGAGCGAAGTATGGGCTCAATACTAGGCAAACGGATGCAATCGTTTATGGATCTGATCCGCAATTACAAGACATTACATATCGTGATGTTAGGCCTGGACTCGGCCGGCAAAACGACGGCTCTCTATCGGCTCAAGTTTGACCAGTATTTGAATACCGTTCCCACCATTGGATTCAATTGCGAGAAAGTCAAACTCAACGGTCGGGCGAAGGTATGTCTGGCCGTCCATTTGGTCGCCCGACACCTCTGGCCACTATGTCTTGTGGGCTATCGATAGTATAGTCTACTCGCGAGACATGAGTGGCCACACAATTGATCGTAAAAGACAAGTGAAAAGAGGTGCTCTCATAAGGCATACATGTCTTTGCAGATGATGTCTTTGATGTCAGTTTTGGGTTGTCTTTTACGGTCAGAGTGTGTGGTGTTTGGGACAGACACTCGTCCCCCATATGGTGGACACACTGTATGTGATTTATAAACATAATTAACGTGTATTTGCATTGTTTGACTCAACCAAAGGGCACATCGTTTCTAATTTGGGACATCGGAGGTCAGGACAAACTGCGGCCGCTGTGGCGGTCGTACACGCGCTGTACGGATGGC